CTTAAAAGACTTAAGAAATGGAGAACTTTCTTTTGAGAAAAAGAATTTGAAAAGACACTTCATCAAAGAGAATACAGAGATGGCAAATAACCACAAAAGGAAAATTACTATAAATAAATATACTATCACTGTCAATGAGTTGAATTTTAATCACAATAACCCGCCACTGGGTTTCCAGGGCTGAGAATGTTAATGGAAGGAAACTTCTCTTGTATCTATCTCCTCCAGAGTCCCACGGGACTTACTAGTCCTACTAGGGACTTCAAGCTATTTTATTAGCATACAATACACTGTGTACAATGTCACTGCGAGATACACTGAATATCTATTAACCCATAAATTAAACTCATTGCCATCAACTCAATTCCAATCAATACCTAGCTTTTAGAATAGAGTAGAACTCCCAAATACGTTTCAATTATTTCAAAGCTTTACAGAAGCAGGCTGCCACAATTTTCTCCTGCAGAGCAACTTGTGCAGAGTGAATGGTTGGTTAAATCTCTGAACTTTCTTTCAGTTAGGAACCAATCACTTAACCACCCTTCATTTCTCACATCCTTATAGTTACTGATGTTTGGTGCCATTGATTTAATAGGACTCATAGCAACCCTATGATAACAGATCTGATCTCTGCCTTATCTTGTGTCAACCTCACAATCTCTGACACGCTTGAGCTTATTGCTGCAGTCACTCTAACAATTCACCCAGTTGAGGGTCTTCCTCTCTTTCACTGTCCCTTCACCTTTCCAAGAATGAAGTCCTTTTCCAAAGAAAAGTCTCTCCTAGCAACATGTCCAAAGTATGTGAGACAAAACTTTGCCTCCAGGGCACACTCTGGCTGCATCTTCTCCAAGACATATCTGTTTATTCCGTTGGCAGTCCACTGGATACTCAGTACCCTTATCCAACATCCTTCAAAGGCATTAAGTCTTCTTTTTCTTTATTCATAATCCTTATTCACATCTAGCTTTCAGTATACCAAGTGATTGAGAAGACCGTGATTTGAATTAGGTACACTTGAATCCTCAAACTAACATTATTGTCCTCAGTAATTTGGAGAGGTTCCTGACTTCAGACTTTCCCACTGCAATATGTCTTCAGATCTCCTGATGCTGGTAACAAGTTTAACCAAGTGGACCCAAACAAGATGAAATTGTTGAGAGTTTCAATTTTTTTCTCTATCATGATAGCACCATAAGTTTAGTGGTGAGAATTTTTGTTTTGTTGATGTTGAGTTGCAATCCATATTGAAGACTGCAGTGTTTTATTTTCTGCAGCAAATGTTTCAGGTCCTCATTTTCAGCAAGTAAACTTGTGTTACCTACATATTGAAGGTTATTAATGAGACTTTCTCTGATCCTGATGCCACATTCTTCATCATAGAGTCCAACCTCTCCAATAATTTTCTCAGCATACAGATTGAATATATACAGGAAAAGGATATAACCCCAAACCACACATTTCTTAATCTGAAACCATGTTGTGTTCCCTTGCTCTATTTGGACAACAGTTTCTTGGTCTATGTATAGGTTTTGTATATGCATAATTAATTGTTCTGGGATTACCATTATTCTCATTGTTAGCCATAATTTGTTATGATTCACAATAAAATGCCTTTCCATAGTCAATAAAGCACGAACAGACAATTTTTTCTGGTATATTTTGCTTTCAGTGAGGATCCATCTGACATCAGCAATGATATCCCTGATGCTAAGCCCTCTTCTAAATCCAGCTAAATTCCACCTAAATTCTATCATTTTTCTATGTACTGTTATAGCTGTTTTTGAATGATCCTCAAAAGTATTTGGCTTGCATGTATTGTTAACCATATTGTTCAATAATTTCCACATTCTGCAGGGTCACCTTTCTTGGGAATGGAAACTAATATGGATTTCTATCAGTCAGTCAGCCAGGCAGCAGTCTTCCAAATTTCCTGGCATATACTGGCGAGTACATCCAGGGCTACATCTGTCATTTGAAATATGTCAATTTGTACCTCATTGAATCCTGGGGCCATATTGTTTTGCCAATGCCATCATTGCAGCTTCAACTTCTTCCTTTCTTACAATTAGCTCTTGATAATGATACTTTCTGAAATATTTCAGCATTGGCCAGTTCTTTTTGTGTATGTGATTCTGTGTATTCCATCCATCTTCTTTTCATGATTTCTGAATCATTCAAACTTTTGCTTAGAACATCTCTAAGTTTTACAACTTGAGGTTTAAAACTGGTTTTCACTTCTTGTAGCTTAAGAAATGCTAAAAGAGGACACAGCTGGACCATGCCCAGAACTCCAGTTCTGAAGCCAAAGCCCTGTGGCCTGAACACCTGATACCAACACCTGTGCCAGGACACACACTGGGGCCTGATGCAACATGTGCTGGGATCTGACGTGACACACACCTGGAGTGAAGTGCGCCTGGAGCAATGTGTACTGGGAGTAACACAGGCCAGGAGTGACACATATTGTGATCAATACTGGAACATGAGTAAGGTACGTGGGGAGAGGGGTTGTCACTGCTGTTTGGCTGGATCACGTGGGATGTCTTAAGCCCAATCAGAGGGAAGTGAAACAGCTGGAGCTCATTCTTTAAGGGAAAACCAAGGATTCCCTACACAAGCCCAAAGCAAGATGTCAGCCCTGAAAAGTAACACGGTATCAATGGATTTCCTGAAGCCAGAAAGTCTGATAAAACTTTCTGACCAGAATTTAAAAGAACAATTATTGAACATTTTCAATGGGTGAAAGACAAACTTGAAGAATCAAAGAACACTGCAAGCAAAAACTAGGAGGAGCTTTAAAAACCAATCCAAAACAATGCAGATAAAACAAACGAGGCATTAGAGACCCTGGGGAAACAAGAAATCACAATCCAAACTATGAGGACCAATATTTTAGATGTTATCAAAATGATGGAGCGACACATGAATAGGACTGAAGAGATAGATCACAGAACCATTGAAATAGAAGATAGACTTGTCACCACTGATATGCTACAACAAAAAGTAGAATCAAAAAGGAAGGAAAAAGAAGAAAATCTAAGAATAATGTGGGATATCATCAAGAGAAATAACATGTACAAAATCGGAATCCCAGAACAGGCAGAAACAACTAAAGGCCCTGACAAAGTTGTGGAAGAATTATTTGAAGAAAACATTCCATGAATAATGAAGAGTGAGAAAATATATATATTCAAGAAGTTGAGTGAACACCATCTAGACTAGATCCCAAAAGAAAAACACCAAGTCATATCATTGTCAAATTTGCCAGAACCAAAGATAAGGAGAGAATTCTGAAAGCAGGAAAGGAAAAACAGAGAGTAACCTATAAAGGGGAACAAATAAGATCATGTGCCAAATTCTCAGAAGAAACCATGTGAGGGAAGAAGAAAATGGAATAACTTATCCAATCAAGAATATTGTAACCAGCAAAATTGTCCATCAAATATGAAGGAGAGATCAAGATATTCCCAGTAAAACAGAACCTAAGGAAGTTTTAAAAAACAAGACCAATATTGCAGAAATACTGAGAGATGTGCCACAGAAAGCAGGATGGACCAAAGTAACTAGTAACAACACCAAAAAAACTCAACAAAATGATAGCAACGAA